GCTAAGACATTGGTTCAAGGAGGCTTCTAAGGGTGGTGAAGGCTTTCATCTTCCTTGAAGCCTCCATTGAACAATGCCTTTGGCCCACACGGCTAAGGCAAAGTTCAAGAGTGCTTCTAGGGTAGTGATGTCTTTCGCCTTCCTTGAACCCTCTCTTAAACTTATACTTGATCAAATTCTTGCACTATTGCGCAACTCCCAATTATGCATAAAATTTTAAGATTCAAACGTTAGGCTCTAATTTCACCTATCAATTTTTCGGGTGTTACATTATCTCCCCCTTGGGAACATTATTAGTCTTGACATTAAATTCTACTCAGTGATAGAACGCATGGCTTTTAACCATGTGATTGTGGGTTTGATCCCGACATATGGCGTTGACGTTTTACCAAAGTTATTTTGATCATTTTTTTCTTTTTAGCACCAAATCATTCAAAGCAACTTTATTTTTTCATCGATTGATAATGAAAATAGCTAATTAATTAAAAAGAATTAATGGACTATCTTCTGAAATGCCAATGAATATATTTGTATTGGACGACATGTACTTCATTTTAGTTTACTAACAAATTTAAAGTTGTCCATTCCAAAATTTTTAATATTACTAATGGAAACTTTAACTAAAAGAATTAAAACAATATTAGGTAACTTTTACTAATTTTAAATTATATACTTAAAGTATTTTTTTTTATAATTAATTTGAATTTATAAATTAAGATTCATATATATAATTACTCTGACTTATTTAGAATGGTGATGTTTAAGTCATTTGGCATACATCCCTACCCTTCACAAATATCTATGTAATGTTTTAGGAAACATTCAAAATTAATGTAATATTTTTTATTTTTTTTAAACACCTTAAATAGTTCATTTGTTCCTTTTCAAATAAGAGTAAAATTTACCTACAGTTTATCTTCCTCAGATTCATTTATGAATTTATCTTTAATACTTTCCTCCATTTTGAATAGTTCAAATCTATTTCTAGGTGAAAAAATAGAAGAAGATTCAAATATGTTTTTTCCATTTTTTCATCATATATTGATCTGAGATCTTTTGCAACTAACCAGAATGCCTCAATCCACTTGGAATATTCAATTTTGAGGCTTAAAGCAATTGATTTAGAGTCTGGATTAACTTTACTTGTGACTTATAAGTCAAAAATCATAAGTTAGGACTTCTAAATTAGGATTTTTTGACTTAATTTTATTATTTTAGCTTAAAAATAAGTGTTTCTGAGCACTTTCCGACTTTACCCAAAAACTTTAAAATTATTTTAAAACTATTTTGATTTAAAAACACAAAAACAAGTCAATTCATACGAGCTTTTTCACCCGTGCTACATGTAAACACACCTGCTCCTTTGAGTCATTATATTATAGTAACTAATAAGCTTAAATCTAAGACAGTTTGTTAGAAATTTTGCTCAGACTATAAATTATTGTGCGATTTTTTAGTATTGTTAAATATGATATGTGAAATTTTTTATCCTTAATTTAGTTTGTTGAATGTGTGCAAATATATTCATTTTAAATTTGATAGTTCGTGACATTTAACTTATTAAAATATTTTTTTTTGATGTTTTTTATTTGATTTTCATCATTTTAAGAAAAGAACGAGACTTTTGTTTTAAAATGTAATGTTGTTAATGTTTCGTTTAATTTGTTCAATTTATTATTTTGTTACTTTTTTTTCTTGATTAATAATCATGTCTAAAAAATAATTTCATAAATTATACATATTTTAATTGTCTATTCTAATTTTAGCTGATGGAATATAACTTAAGAACAATACTTACTGAAGCCATAAAACTGCACAAATCAACCATATCCAATATATTTTGGTATGTTAATTATTACCATAACATTTTTGAAGATTAAGAACTAAAACTAACCACCGAAATCTTCCAAGGAAATGTGGTAATGAAAAAATATTCAGATTTTTAAAAAAAATTGGAAGTTCAAAAGCCTTATAAGGTACTTGCTACTATAGAGAAGATTTTTGCTCTACGTAAAACTTGTCACCTCGATGGAAGATAATATGTGGAAAGCGAGGTTCAAAGGAATTGAATATGTGATAAGGAGATGTATGAATGTCTCGCTGTAAATGTATGAGATGTTGTAATAGATGATTTCAAGAGATTAGATAAAGGTAAATTGAATAAGTATTGGAAAGAAGTGAGTAGATATGACATTACAAAATTTCAACCTACTGAATACTTGACCTTATTAGGAGTTTATTGTCTTGTTGTCGTCCATACTAGTGGTCACAATACTACTCTTGTAGTTTTTTGTGTTTCACTCTTCGTTGGTTCGTATAGTTCGATTATAGTATTATTTTATTGTAGTCATGTTATGCTACTATCTATTATTTCTTATACTTTTTTTTCATGCACTATTTTATCTTAAATTGAAAATCTATCGAAAACGACCTTCAAATCTACTCCGCTGAATATGTTATTTTAAATACAGGTTAGTCAAAAATACAGAAACAGAAAAAAGATGAAATAGATAAAATGATTTTTTAATTCGAGTCCACAGAAATCACTGTGTTTCCTTAAGAAATTTAATCCCCTCACTGTACTCGAGGTTGCAGATTAATTCCTCCCAAGATAAAACAGATTAACCTATTAATGAAGTAGTGGTACCTCAAACTTCAATAACTTCAGCGAACGCAAGAACAGCAACAAGAGCACACACAGACTCAGTCGATCGAACTAATTTTATTTATGTAAAGAAAATGTATGTAGAGAAGAAAAAATTTCAGTGTTTAGAAAAATGAAAAAAACCTCTTATTTATAGCCATTTGCAGCAAGGAACGCGTCTGTTCAGAAAAATCTGTTCAGACCCGTTTTTTCCAGAACATTGTGTTCTTTGGGAAAAGTAACGACTTTTCGGAAGGATTACCGTTACACGTGAATTTCAAATAAATTCAGTTGCGCCAAATTAATTTTGTTATTTAATTAACATCATTTGCCAAATTCAAATCCGAATCCGAATCCGAATTCGAGGCTGAGCGAGCGACGACGACGGCGCGAGGGGCACCTTCTTCTTAACCCTTTTAAGAACTAAAGGAAGTGTTTTGTGTCCTTTGGGAAAAGTAACGACTTTTCGGAAGGATTACCGTTACACGTGAATTTCAAATAAATTCAGTTGCGCCAAATTAATTCTGTTATTTAATTAACATCATTTGCCGAAGCCGAGGCCGAGCGAGCGATGACGACGGTGCGAGGGGCACCTTCTTCTTAACCCTTTTAAGAACTAAAGGAAGTGTTTCCTAATATAAGGACAATAATTTCCTTTCTTATACCAATATGGTAAAAATGACTTTTCATTTGCACTTTTGCAATGAGTTTTCATTTTCCCTCCAAAATTGGTTTCTCCCACTTTCATTGATTTTTCCACTTTCCATTTTCTCTTTTTATTTCCCATTCACACCTTGCTAAACCCAACAAGTTGTCATTACAGTTATTAGTTATTACTATGAGAATTTGGTACGACAAATGATCTATTTTCTATTTTGCAATTGCAAGATACGAAGGATGAGAAGACAAGTGAACAATATGAAGAAGTTTGACATACACTACGCATCAATTATGAAATCACTTCAATATTATTTGATTTTATGTTAGGTCCATATTTATTTCCCCTTAAACATTCGTAGATATTAGCTTTGTATGCGCATATTCAAATCAATTTGAGTATATCTGAAATAAATTTCTTTGCATACTCATCATGTTTGAAAAATTACTTAGTAATATCACTTATTTTTTTAAGACTATAATATCATAGTAACTATTTTTAATAAAAAATCTATTATTATTATTATAATAATAATAATAATTGTTATGCCTAGTTTTAAACCAGTTTCATTTTTAGAATTTGAATTTATTAACATTGGATTTATCCCATAAAATCCTATTTTTGGAGTAAAATACTTACTATTAAGAAGGATTATATTCTCTGAACTCAAATTAAGAAATTAGGAGGGGTTATAAATTTTGCACTCAATTTCGAGGCAAAATCTATTATTACTGATTATATTTAACAATTTATTTATTTCCTTAATTCTATAAATCTTTCGAAATATGATTCTTTAAATTGATAATTTTTAAAACCGTGGAGGAATAATCTTTGTATAACCGCTTTATTACACACAACTATGGACAGTTGACCAAACTAGTGCTGCCTTGGTCCCTTTACTTATTAAATTTTAACGCGACACACATATTAAAAAATAATGATTGATATTGTAAATTTATTCATTTATAGAGTCTCAGACATATTTATTCATTATATTTTTCAAAAAATTAACTCAATATTAATAAATTCAGGATATAATAGGCAATTTTTTTTTATTCATCCTTGATTTGTCAAAAATAACAAGTAAAAGGAGAAATCAAATTAGAAAATATTGGACAAGTAAATGAAAAAGGAGGGAAGGTTAACTTTTCGCAGTATATTTTTAGAATAGAACTATATAGACGAATAAAAACAAATAAAAATTAAAGGTACTTCTTCCGCCCAACAATAGTTGTCCACCACTATATTATTTTGAGATATCTAACAATACTTGTTTATTTTATGAAATAAATAAATAATTTACACTTAGGGGTCGTTTGGTGTGAGTGATAAGAATAAATAATCTTGGGATAAAAATTTGGTGTCTTGTTTGGTTGCCATGTTTGGGATAACTTATCCACCATTTATACCATAGTGATGGGATAAGTTATCCATATACACGGTGGGATCAGTTATCTCGGGATAATTAATCCTGGAATAACTTGTTCCCAACCAAACGACCCCTTAATTCCTAATTCCTCTATTATATTTTCAAGACATTGTATTCATTATATTCAAAGGGTTATATAGTAAAATTACCTTTATATTTATAATTTCTTAAAATGTGCACAAAATCAACGGTGGACAAGTATTATTGAACAGAAAGTATTAGTTTTAATTCCTAAAATAAATTCAGTTAATAATTCCAAATTCCAATAATCAAGCTTTGTCAAACACGTTTCTCTTCCCATTCCCTCCAAAGTCCATACACCCCCACCCCACCCCCACTCCCACACAACTTACACAGTCGCAGAACCTCCATTAACGACTAGCTCGGTCGCTCGCTCTAGGTAAGTTTTGTGAAGTATTTTTATTCTCATTTTTTCTGTTCAATTAGTCAAATTCGCTTTCGTTTCAAAAACCCTAGCATCGAATTTCTGCTTAATAACAACTACTAGTTCGAATCTCTGTTTTGTTAAACAAGGAAGAGATATGCACTTGAAATGACTTCATAACGAGTTAACAGCAAGGGAGATTTAGTTTAGAAACTTCATTTTATCTAATTTTTCTACTTTTCATAGCTTCGTATGTGAAACCCCTTGCCAGGTGATGAATTTTGCCTTCTTCTTAGACGTAACACGGGTAAACTTCAGCTCCGATTTGGTGATTGTTGAATTTTGTTTCTTAATTTTCTTTTTCCTATTTGCTGTTTGCTTCTGCAGAAATAGAGTTGTCGGGGACTGTCAACATGTATATAAAACAGGTAATTAAAAGTCTATGACCCTAAATTATGTGTCAACAATTGTGTATATATATGTTAGTGTTCTTTGGATGCTGACTTTGCTAGAGTGTTTCATAGTGATTTTTTTATTGGGGCATTTCTTCTGTTGTAGGTCATCATTGAAGGATATAAGAGTTATCGGGAACAAGTAGCCACTGAAGATTTCAGTCCAAAAGTTAACTGTGTTGGTAATGTCACCTTTACCGTTGGTATTGCCATGAAGTTGAGTTGTGTTGCATTTTGTTTTTTAACTTAGAAATGTTTAAAATTTTCTTCTGTGCAGTTGGTGCAAATGGATCTGGCAAGTCTAACTTTTTCCATGGTGAGTTACCCTGAGGTTTTCTGGCTCATATTTTGATGAGTACGCACTACTTTTGTTTATATATTTATTATGTTCTGCAGCAATCCGTTTTGTCGTAAGCGACCTCTTTCACAATCTGCGCAGTGAAGAAAGACAGGCTTTGCTTCATGTATGTTCAACATTTAATCTTTGGAAATTGCAGTAGTTCATGTCCTTACAATGTTTGTGATATCTCCTTTTTTTTTCTCACACAGGAAGGAGCAGGTCACCAAGTGTTATCTGCTTTTGTGGAAATTGTATTTGATAATTCAGACAATCGAATGCCGGTAAAGTGTTGAACTTGGTATACATACACCTTTATGCCATTTGTTCTGGACAAACAGTTCTGGCCTCGCCATATTTGCTGTCATTAGTTTCTAATCTGCAGTAGTTGGCTGATGTATGGAATATAATTTTGGCCACTCACTGTTACATTCCTTCGGCTAAAGTATGTAAAACAATTTGTGTGCAGGAATAGCATGTGACTTTAGATGTGATGGCTTCTGTTGGTTCTTGAACTATTTTTATTTGCTTGGTCATTTCTCTCAGTGAGCCCTTCTTTGTGACTCACAGTTTGCTTACCTATCATATAGAAAAGTATAGGGTGAAGCACACAATGTATGAATATGATTTGTATTCTCTAATATTAAAAAAAACACTAGTATTAACTTTGGCTCTGATGTTTATCCAATGTTTGGTGTTTGTGGACATTGATGGAATGTTTGTGGTTGAGTTGTGGTTGGGGGGGGGGGGGGGT